CCCACACCCCCAGCTCCGGCCCCTCTCCTGTAGAGCAGCAGGGGACCCCGCCCAGGAGGGAGGGGGCACTCAAGTCTCCCCGCCTCCTCCAGTTTCATCACTGAACCCTGGGCAACACCTGGGCCCAGTCCAGCACTGGGCAAGCGGGGATGGAGGGACCCAGCCTTGCCCTGAGGACTCCGGTTCTGGGCCTTCAAGCAGAGGTCAGGGCAGGGGTCACCTGGGCTCAGGGCCTTCAGAACCTCTTCTCAGTTCAAGGCCCCCCCCCCCAACACACACTCAGGATCCTCAAGCTTCTCTCCCTCCAGGGCTCAGAATGGGCTCCCACTAAGGCCTCCAATAATATGACCTTCATAACCACCTAGAAGAGGACACTGAGGTTCAGAGGGGACCACATTCCAAAGTGGCTTCTCGGGACCCACAGGAGAGGGGTTGGGGAGGCAGAGCTGGACGTGGGTCCATCAGGCCCAGAGAGTCTGGCACTGAGCGGACGCTAAGCTGTGAGTGACCGACAGAGACCCTCCTGGGGCTCCAGGCCGGTCCTTGGGGCCTCCCTCCTGGAAGGGGGCACCTCTGCGTGGGCGTGGGGCGCTCCAGACAGTGTTCCCAGGACTGGGAACTGCAGATAAATGAATGAGCTGCCCAGGCTGCCCCCCTCCCCCCTCCCGAGGGTGGGACCCAGACTGGCCCTGAGTTCGGGCTGGCGAGTTGCCTGGTCAGGGGGCATCGCTGGAGGTGCCCAGTGACGAACTGAATTCCCTGGAAAAAACATTTCCTGCTCCCAGTTAGGAAGCGAGGGAGTCAGGGAGCCAGATGGAAATGAAGCCTGGATCCCGAGAGGAGCTGTGTGGGCTCCTCCACACGGATGGTGGTGGGGGGTGGGGGGGAGCTTTCCGTGGAGAAGGGAGGGCCCAGCGCCCCTCTGCCGCCCCCAGCCTGTTGCGCTTTTGGGAGGCGGCTCTGGTGTGAGGGAGGCCCGGTGGGGGTGGTGCGGTCTGGCCAGGGGCCTGGGAGCCAGGACCTGATTGACAGCCAGGGGCCCCTCCCGGGGCAGGGCTGGCTCTGCAGACGCCGTCTGCCTGGCACATAGCAGGCAGCTCGCCGTGTCCCCAGACGTGAGCGAAAGGGAGGTCCAAAGAGAGCATGGAACATTCTAGCGGGAGCGGAACAGGTCCCGCTGGCAGATGAGGGATGTGTGTTTCGGGGAAGGGTGACTCATCGGCACCAGGTGGAGGAGGGGCCACCCGCCTGGCAGCAGACGGGCTGATGGAGG